AATACCAAGGAAATATGCCCCTGCCCGTCCCTCCTTTTTTTTTTTTAAGGAGAACTTTGTGCAGCAACTTTAATTTGACACTGCAAATAACCAGAGCGCCACTGTAGCAACACTGGGAAGGCCTACGCACAATAAAAGTATCAACAAACTGTCGGATGAGGCTTTATTGGCACAGTGAACATAAACTCCTCTTTACTTTAGTTGTTTGAACATCTTTGAACTCCACATATTGGAATACTTTGACTGTCTGGAAAAGTGGAGCAGTGGAAAGAATATTAGCTGTAATCTGTATGGGCTGCAGATATAAACAGTAACTTATTGCAGTGTCCTTCAGGAGTCGTCTGTTTATGCGTTCTTCCTCCCTGGCCTCTTGCAGGAAGTGAAGATATTCCGAGCGCTGATCCTGGGTGAGCTGGAGAGAGGGCAGAACCAGTACCAGGCGCTGTGCTTCATCTCTCGCCTCAACCGTAATGAAATCATCCCCAGTGAGTCCATGGCGCGACTCAGACAGGTATGACGCACCGGATGTAGTCGTCCTGTGAGCCAGCTCACATTTAATAAAGTAAGAGGAAGACGCCACAGGCGAAGCCATCAATTTACAGTTTCCTGAATGTGTCCTCTTTCAAACATGTAGATCATCCTTCTGCATAAGCAAGATCTACTCCAGGGATGCCCAAAGTCAGTCCTCGAGGGACCTACATATTTTTGTTCTCTCCCTTGCTTAACAAACTTGGATCAAATGGTGGCTCATTAGAAGGCCTAAGAAGAACACTGACTTGCTGAAAAGGGTGTTGGTACCACCAGCGAGAGAACTAAAGCGTGCAGGATGCCGGCCCTCTAGGACTGACTTTGGGCATCCCTGATCTACTCTATTACATTGAATAACATGGAGAAGAAACCACTTAAAATCATTCTCAGTTGTAGATTTGTATGCCTTTGGCAAATGCAAGATTCCTACTGAGTCTGGAAAAGAAGATTTCATTGTTCTTCGGGTCTGAAAAAACAGATGAGAACATTAAAAATATGGGTATCTTCAAACTGTATGCAATCTCCCTTTGAGTATTGTCTTTCCTTTTTATTTATGAGTCATTCTTTTTTTTCCTGCTACACTGCCTTGTGTCCTATCTTCCTTTTTTGTGTGTTACGTTGTATTCATCCTTTTTACTTCCTCATGTTGTGCTTTATTCCTTTGTTTCCCTCCATTTATTCCTTGTTATTTTATTTCCTTTTGTTGTGTCCTTTGTCTTCTTTGTTTGTGTTCATCCTTTATTATGTCATCATTGTATCAACAGTCCTTTCCTTACCTCTGTCCTTCATTGGATGTCATCTCACCCCCTTGTCTCCTTGTTTTCTTTATTCCATTTTGCCCTTTTCTTCTTTGCTTTCTTGTCTCCTCCCTTCATTTATTCTGACCTTCTTTACTTCCTTGTGTCCTCTTTCCTTTGTTGTTTCCTTTTAGTTTTGCACCTACAAGCCCTTCTTCCTTCATTTCTTTGCTTCTTCTTTTTTTTTTCTTTTCTTTTTTTTCGAATTAAATATGGAGTACCTGGCTGCTGCGGAAACATTTGCCAGAAATATTCAGTTAAATTCGAAGGAGTTTGAACACTGGAAAGTTATTTCTGGAAATGTGTTTCTGAAAATTAAGTATAAACCCTGTAAGTAGACTTCACCATAATTTGAGAGAGACCATAAACAATGGTGCATTGTATAAGACTATTTTTTTCCCCCCAAAACACTCCCTCAAAAAATCCTTTGTGGGAACCATAAAAAAAACACATGCAATTAACCAAACTCAACAGGGTTTTTTTTGTTGTTTTTTTCATCACTATGCACCTGTTGCATCTCAACATACACTGAGCGTCAAGAATCTCATTATTTGTTTCTCTTTAGAAAAATCCCCATGTCATTCGCCTGGCAGAGGAGCGAAAAGGGCTTGAGCAGCTGACGATGAGCGCCGCTGTGAATCTCAGCCGGGCCTGGCAGCTCAGCTCCCACATCCACAACATGTGCAGCGAAGCTCATGAGGCCATTTACACCAGGGAGGCAGATGTGAAATATTGGCTGCAGAAAGGTAATCAGATCTGTCGTTAAAGCATTTATCTTACCCTTCTTTGTCTTTGCATTTATGACAAGATTATTTATGTTGTTTATATGCCCAGCTATTTGAGGTCAGATTTGGGTTTGTAACAGCAATAAAGCCTGATTGTCAATGCTGAAGAGAATCAGAATGACAGCACTTTTGTTTGAAAGAAAAGACTCCTGATGGTCATGGCTCAACAAGCACCATCATATCCAGAGGGAATCACATAAGCATCTGTTTAACATGACAAAGCTCATCTCTTAGCCAACCATCTGCCCTCTTTGGAAAAAAAAAAACACTTTGTTTTCCCTCTTCAGATCCACACAGAATTTAATTGAGTGAAATCAGAACATTGCTCCAGACACAAGTCTGATGGCATGCTTTTGTTTTAGCTCTTGTTGACGAGATTTGCCTTTGTGTTGCAGGAGCAGACAGCTCAATATTTGAGGTCCTGCCACAGACGACGGAGGCGCCCAGCTTTCAGGCCTGTCATTCTACTAAAGACTTGTGGCAGCCGTGTCTCTGCACGTACGGCCTCCGTCTGGAGTGGTACCCGTGTCTGCTGAAGTACTGCCGCAGCCGGGATGGCACGGCCAAAGGGACCACATACAAGTGCGGCATCAGGAGCTGCAGCAAGGGCTACCATTTCACCTACTACGTCCCCCAGAAACAGCTCTGCTTGTGGGACGAGGAGACCTAGTGTTCTCTTTTTTTTTTTCCTCTGGGAAGTTATAAGTGGAGGAAAAAAAATATTGTTCTTAAGCCAGTGTTTGTCCACCGGTTCTATACGTGGCAATATTGGACCTTTGATGGAAAGATAGTAAATTAATCTTTTATGTATTAGGACACAATGAGGGGGGGAAACGGGAGATTTATTCAGGTTCCAAGTCACGCCAAACAAAGGAAGGACAAGTAGCTGAACCGTCACAAATAAATGACACATTATTGATTTCCTCATTGTTACTTTGCCAAAAAACTACCACTTCTGTGCCTCTTTTTGGAAGAATTATTGGGGAGAAAAACACAAAGCAACAATGACCTCTGAAACAAGCTACGATGTGCACGAAACTAAACCGTGCATTTGCAAGGAATGAAAAACCAGCAGAGGAGCATTTGCCTCTGTCATGTTTCCGCAATGGAGGAAGACAAAGATAGTCTTCCATCTTGGTGGAGGACAATAAGAATAGTAGATTTATCTTCACGATAAAACTCTGTGAAAAACAAATATACACATTTCTATATACATATGGCCAGTTGAAGCACCTGTTTAGGTCGCACTAAACAGGTTCACTGAAAATGCCTTGCCAACAGTGGCTTTATTTTTATTTTGGTTGTAAAACAAAATCATCTAGGGCTTTGTGTGATGTCATATTGCTTTCTTAATTTTTTTAAAATACTTTTTCTGAGATTAAACAAGTCCTGAGCAAAAATAAGTATTCTAAGACATTTATAATTCCCAGGACTTGGCATACTGTTCATGCAGGTGTAACATTTCTGTTTCCAACATCTATGCTGTACAGTCATGTGTTCCACCTCATTTGTAGGTTTAAGGAGCAGCTCTTGCCTATTCCGTTTATCACACTCTTAGAAAAAGTGCCAAATAAAACTAATTTAGCAGAAAAACGGTTTTTAAAAGGGCCTCTCTTTAGTTGTCTTTCCTAGAAAAATACTCTACTTTTTATACAAACTGCAATCTTTACTGCCACCTTCTGGTAGATAAAGATACAGATTCCACTGCCTTATAATAGTCATGTTATTTTATTTGTCTGTTGAAATCATCACTTAAATGTTTAATTTATACATTTTAAATCTTTGGTCATTACATGGATAATTCATGAAGCCATTCTTGATCTCATGGGACCAACTTAAGCTGTGTCTGTCTGTTAAGAGTAAATATGTTGAAGTAAGGTTTTGAATCATCTTACCTCTGCCGTGGTCTTTAGCTACCACATAAACATTTCATTTTTAATTTTCTTGTTGTTGGCATCTCCTGCTAACTAAAGAACCAAATAAGTGAAACATTTGTCACTGTGGCCTTTTTGTGATAATCAAGTGCCTTAACATTTCCACTGATGTTTTTGCAATGTAATTGTAGATTAAGTTGTTAAACATATTTTTGTATGGAAGAGGTTGTTGAATTGTTATAAATAGTCCTAAAAAGTAAATGAAGCAATTTAGGTATTGCATCTTTTAGATCCGTTTTGCATAAATTGTTTCAATAAAGTCTTTTTGCACTGCATGAGAGACTGTGTGAGTTTTGGGGTAATTTTCAGCATACGCTTGAAGGAGAGAAGCAATGCTTATTGTATGTAATGCAAAGTACTGTTTCAGAGCTTAATACAGGTGTCCTCCACATTTTCAGGTTTGTATTTGTAAATAAAAACAGATGTTAACAATCTAGAATTTCCCTCCCTTTTCACAATTACATTTGATTGAATCTTTCACATAAAATCCCTTTACAATTAAATGTTCACCACCTGGTTGAGTTGTAACTCCACGTGTTGGCCGTTAGGTGTCGCCATTAAACTAAAAAATATAAATATACTAAACATTCTCTCATCGGACCGTCAAGAGAAATGGAAAACGCTACATTTAATGTGTGCAATGAGCCTGTTATCGCCGACGGCGCGGTTCGATATCATTCCCTCGGAGCAACTTCCTAGTGTTACTTCGAGTAACACAAGGATGCACCTCAATATAAGCGTACTGAGAACCAAAGGATGCTGATGGAGGCTGTTGCTGCCGGAGCAGCGCGGATAAAGGACAACAAATAGCAGCCAGTGTGTCACACTTCTCTCTCCCTAAGAAAAAAAAAAAACACACACCCAGAGAGGAAAACGGCAAACTGCGTCTAGGCGCAGACACCGACAGATGTTTACCAGTAAGGTAATGCCATTTTGTAGCGCTTGTGAAAGCCGGAGAAAATGCTTTAGTGTTCCCTATAAGCCTAGCCCGCTACAACCAGTTAGCTTGTTGTGCGGTTAGCAGGGTATCAGGTGGGGCTGCGGGAGCATCCCGGTGGCTGGTGGGGTAAAAGCCTCCAGTACCGGTGCCTTCAGCTGTCCACCAGCATATTCCTGTGACGGTTTCATCTGTAAAACACTCCCAACAAGAAAACAAAAAACATTTGCATGGCTTCAACTCGTCACCGTGTCCTGTTTGCCTTTAGGTTGCCATGGAAACGGCCCTTTTTCGCCTTAAAAAAGGTCAAGCGTTCACACCTTTGGGAGGTGCAGTTGAAATATACAGAATGTCTTCTATTCGGGATGGGTTCCCCGATTATTACTTGTGTCCTGAAAAACATAATGATGTCGATTCATGTTGTCATCGTTGAACCTTTCCTTGCCTGGTCGCAGGGTTAGAGGACTGGTCCACAATCACAGGGCAACACAGAGAGACACACAGGAGGAGCACAGCCATGCACACAACACTCACACCTCAGGACAACTTTGGAGTGATCGAAAAGTCTTGTTTCTGGACCGTGAGAGGAACTCATAGATTCACAGGGTGAACATGCAAACTGCGCGGAAAGACACCAGGCCATGATTTGAACCCATCGCCTTCCTGCTGCAAGCCAGCAGTGCCACGAGCTGCACCACTGTGCAGCCAGTTGTTTTATCTTCTGTATTTAGTTTTACAATTTGTAGTTATTGACTTAATTAGGTATATCGCCGTTGTTTGAAATAAAATTGATTTAGTGGATTTACTAAAGCACAAAATGAGCTAAATGAACAGTAGTCTTTGAGGAACAATGAAAGTAATTGGATATCATCTAACTTTTCATTTAAATTCAGCATTTTAAAAGTCAATAGACCATTAAACTGTAATGTTCAATATTTACTAACCTTTAGATGTGTATTAGGCTGTATGAGGACAAAACAGCCCATGGAGTTCCTTTGCCATATGGAAAAGTGTTGATGTTTTTTTCAAGCGTTAGTTCTTGTTTCATTGTCTGAACACCATCCACCTTTGTGTGCATTGCTACATCCATCCATCCTCCATAATTTACTTAAAACCTAATCTCTGTAAAAAAAAAAAAAAAAAGGGAAAAAAAAGCCAGTGTCATAAATTGGAAACTTTTGTGTTTATACTTAAAAATTTGACAAATAGATGGAGAATTCTGAAATTTTGCATCTGAAAAATGATCCTAATTATCGTTAGGTGTTTCATGATTTTAATTTATTCTCCTCTTTTTGTAATGTCTTCATTGTTCATTTCATTAGATTTTGCCTCTTCAGTTTTGTGTGTCTGGTTTCATCCTCATTGTTTGTGCTTTGTACTTGTTTCCTTAGATTGGTGTGTGTGGAAGGGTACGGTGGGGGGTTCTGTTGACTGCTTATGTTAATTACAGTTTTTTTTTTTTTCATTTCATCTATGGTTTCTATATGGTCTCATGATCAATATTTTTTTTACTGTTTCCTAGGAACAAGGGGTGGCTCAACTTTTACATCACTCTCCCCTATTTGCAGAAACACGACAGAGTGAGAACTCCAGCAGCGAACTATCTCTGACGTGTTTTTCTTCCGTAACCTTGTCAACAAGAATTTAGGCAGTTAGGAGAAAGTAAAGAACTGCTGAATGCAGTACAGACGCTTTGCACCTTGGAAAACGTTTGTCTTTTGTAAGTATCAATGGCATTTGGAAGAGACTTAGGCCTGTTGTTTTTTCCTTTGGTTAATAAATTCTAGAGCAGCGTACATAATCTGTGAGTGTAACATTGAGATGTGTCTATTATATAGCAATGTATTTTTCTTTCCGTTATATTTCAGTTACAAAATCCACTTATAAAAGTTCTTCAGTTCAAGAAAAGCAAGCCTTGCGTGAGTGGAGACGTTTTGTTAGTTGTTCACTGGCTGTGTAGCGGCACATGGTCATGTCATGAGGACAGCATGTCACATCGCAGACTCTCAGCTGGATTCATAATAATAATAATAGATTATATGAATAATGCACTTTATATCTTTAGATTTCAAAACAAATAATTGTAATGCTTGTTTTTTTGTTTTTTTTTTTTTTAAAAAGAAAAAGATACATAAACAAAAGAGATTAAAACCAATATCTAAGAAAATTAACCACAAATGTTGCTGAAAAGTTGTGGAGTGCTTGATTATCTTGTCAATATATTCTTCCACCTGAACTGTTTCTCTTTTGTCCCTCGACAGCACCCCTACACTCCATTTTTGAATGATGCTTTATCCAGGAGATATTCAAAGCATGGGGTATTGTTTTCTAACAGATCCTTATGTTGTGTTCTTTTGTCTTCGTGACAAAGAAAACTGTCTCACAATTTATGTGATAGAACTGCTTTGTGTAGTTCAGTCACATAAAACCCTAGCAAAATAAATAGAAGTTTGTGGCTGTAACTTGGACAAAATGTGAAAAAAAGTTCAAGGGTGGGAATATTTTTTGCAAGGTAGTGTAAATAACAGCCATTATCCATATTTTAATGATATTTTGTAGATGCAAGTACATTTAGAAAACCGTTTAGGATAAGAAGAAAAATTAAACCAAAATAATATTTAAAAATCAACGCATGCATTTTGGAACCGCTGTGCAGACTGAACAAGACAAAAATAGCTTCTCTTGCACCGACTTCGGTTGTTTTCAAAGCTCACTTGGCATTTGACAGCAGCGGAGAAAGTCTGCGTTCCTCATGGGATCCCGTCTGAGGCCCATCGCCCGGTGACCTCTCTGCCTGTTTTGAAACTAGCTCCAAAGACGTCCAGAGTTTAGTGTGCGTCTTGTTCTACGTTTTGAGGGTGGTTCTGTCCGTCTGCAATTGTCTCACCTCCTAGCACAAACGTCACAGCAGAAGAAGAGACGTCCCCCTCACCCCACCAGACCCTCAGCCTGTCGACTATAGTACTATTATAGTTCAGGCAAAGGCTAATTGTTGGTCATTTACAAAGGCTGCACAGTCCAAGCCTTCGGATGGCATTTCTGCCTCTCTCTACTGTAAGTGATATTACAGGGGGCGATATCTGCCTCCTTGCATTGTTCTCCTATTTTATAAGGTGATTGGAAGGACGCTAAAAACGTATTTAGTTGCTTTAGTTCTTGTTTATTTCCAGCTCTTTTCTGTTTGTTTTTGCCTTCAGGGGAGACGATGGTGCCGATTGTAGGTTTCACACTCCTTTGCTTCTGTTGCTGGGCATCTTTCTACTTTGTCTTGTGCTTCCTAAATGCACGTAGGAGCAACGAATGGAACTGTCGCCTCGTCACGTTGGTGCACGGCATGGTGGCGGTTTGCATCACAGCTTACATAGGGTATGTGGATGGACCCTGGCCATTCAGTCAGCCAGGTAGGAAACAGATTGTGGTGAATTTTTGCAGACATGTCAAACCTCATTGTTGCTTTTCTTTATATGCTTAAATAGGTTTTTTCAAGTGATTGCATTTTTGTATTTAAAAAGCTGAAGTCTGATTCTGTTTCTTTACGTCAGGCACCAAGAACACCCCCTTACAAATAAGTGCCTTGGTGATCAGTCTGGGCTACTTCATTTTTGACATGGCCTGGTGCTTGTACTACCGCACTGAGGGACTTGTCATGCTGGCCCACCACACCATGACAATTTTGGGAATTATAATGACCCTGTGGCTGGGCGAGTCTGGAATCGAATCGTGCGCCGTTCTCTTCGGCAGCGAAATCACCAACCCCCTCCTGCAGACGCGCTGGTTCCTCAAGCAGACGGGACGCTACGAGACTCCGCTCGGGGACGCTGTGGACGTCCTGTTTGTACTGCTGTTTGTCGTGATGCGAATCTTTGTGGGAGGTACAATGCTGTACTGTGAGCTGATCTCGCCGAGACCCTTATTCCTCATCAAGTGTGGAGGAGTGGCCATGTACGCTCTGTCCTGGGCCTTCATGGTGGACATTGTTGGCTTTGTAATACGGAGGTGCAAGAGATGGCACCAGGAGAGAGACCAACGGCGGAGGGTTGCAGCAAAGAAGCAATGACTGACATTTCAGCCTCTGAACGTAATCAGTTTACCTGACTTTATATCAGCTTTTCACTTCAGACACTCAGTGGATTTTTTTCAATCTAGTAGAAAATGATCTTTCTGCATTGACAGATTTATTTCAAAAAAGTTTTTTTTTCATGGGGTGGGGTTACGTAAATGGAATGCTATGCCATCTTTTTTGAAAAGTCTACCACGTGTGCATTTAAAAATATATATTTTAGTTTATATGCTCCTGATGATTGTTATTTCAAAGGTACAAACATGTCTATAACGAGGACTGAAAACCAAAGCACTTTTATAAAAACACATGTTGCTTTGAGCTGCTGTGAACTGTGGCCCAGTCATTTGTGGTGGTGTTGTTCCAAAAAGGGAGTTTACAATTCAGAAAGTGAGACAGTCAGACCTAGGGCTGGCTGTTGAACAGTTTTTGTCAGACAAAAAAAAAAAACATTAAGACAGCTTTCTGTGCTTTCTTTCAGTTGTTTATTGTTTTGTTTTGTTTGCTCTAAGAGAAGCACAGTGCTTATTTGAAAACCCGATACAGTTTGGGACATTTTTTTTTCCACTTGCATTGTGAATGTGCTAATATGATAGATCTACACAAAATCCTGCGACGTTGTACTTAATTTCCTTTCTGTGACAGCTCAAATGATCCCAAATTACTTATTGACATCTTACCTTTATTTGTTGTATTAAAGCCTCATTTAATTGTAATACAGTAAAAAAAAAAAAAAAAAAAAAAAAAAAAAAAGCCCAGTGTAACTAGTTCAGAGACAAAGTATTTGGTACTACCAGCATTATATTTAAATAACTGACTTTCGGCTGAGTGTCTGTGTGATTGTTGCGAAAGTCTCTTCAGCCTTTGTTGACAGCAGAAGTTACCCTTATTGCAAACTATTTGTCTGAATTTTGATGTATTTTTTTAAGGCACTTATGCACTTTTTTTAACATCCCTACTCTGTTTGCTGAATCTTTGGAACAAACAAGCTCAATCAGCCAAAATGTTGGCGATCAGTTTTGAGCTTACAGCATTAATACATGCCAAGGAAGGTACCAAGCCATCAGCTTTCGTGTTTGCTGACACAATATCTTTTGTCACGAAGAATGTAATCATTTGTTTTTAAAGAGAAGAAAGTACATAAGTTCTCTGTGCCTTATCTAAATGTACTCACTGCCCTTTGTACGTGTTATGTTTTTCTTTTCTTGTGCTGTGACCTAAATGCTACAACACTAGACTGTAAAGTGAAAACGTTGGCGATGGATTGAATTGTCTTTGTAATCCCGATTGAAATAATAATAACAATAAAAACAAAATCTTTGTGTATGTTTTCCACATCAAAATGTCACCTAAGAGCAAATAATCGTACTACATATTCAGATGAACTGAAGTTACCGCAGCCGTCCACAAGATGGTGTTGTTCCAATTACATTGGAATGACTCGTGAGGCAATATCCCTTTTACTGGGTTTGTGTTTTGTTTTTTGTTTTGTTTTTTAATCTATGCAAGATTTTAAGACTTACAGAAATATCCATGTGAAAAAAGTTTTTTTGTTAAGTTTGTTTTTTTCTTTTAATTGAGTGAAAATTGCTCCAAAAACTATTAGAATCACTTCCACAGAAATGCATCCAAATAAATCCAGTCGATGTTTAGTGATTCAGCAAATAGCTTCTAAAATACATAACTAGCTCATTTTTGCCACTGTTTTAATTGTCAGATGATTGATTTAATGAATCTCTTTTCACCCCTTAATCTTTGCCTTACATCTGTGTTCTTCTGGTTAGCACACGTGGGGACACAGTTTCCCAATTCCCACTGGATTTCAGGCCAGGGCCATGACTTTCTCGCTCTAAAACAGATTTTTTATAGGCACACGTAGAAACCAATTGGGAGTAAATGTTCTTTCAGATCGCCTCAAAAATGTAAATATTTTCTTCTGTAACACACTTGCAAAATAATCACAATTCATGGTGAATCTTCGATTTCTGCTTTGAAGAGTCACCATATGTTTTGGGTATGTCTTAATTTACCCTCAGTCAGCATTGAGAAAGGGAAAAACATTCTATAATTTCAAATAAAAGAAAAACACAATTTTATTGTTTTGGCTTAATCACACTGATTTGTTTAGCAGAAAAAAAATTATAATAATTTCTGTGACTGAAATTTGTTGCCATGTCCAAAAACACAAAAATATAGTCTGTGAATAAATTGAGTTTGATCATAATTTTGTTCTTTCACAGCAAGCACAAAAAAAAAAAAAAATTACATCTGCTTCAGGCTTGATTACTGTTTACGTGACTAATACAGTCATACTAGATCAACATCTTCTTGAAGTCAAAAGGATCAGCCCATGATGCATCAGCTAACCAAAGGCCTTTCCATTTCTCCGTGAATGGTTTTACCACCACCTGAACTAAGTGCTGCGGTGGGACCAGGAGGTCAGGAGATGACATTTGGATTTAGCCAGACTGTTTTTGTCAAACTTTAAATAAAATCTCAAATCAAACTGCTAGAAGGGGTTGATGAGCATGCTTGTAAGATATTTATTAAACGAATGATTTAACATTTAGTTGTTTTTGACACTATTTTCTCATGTGGATGCTCCACTAAACCTTAAGATGAATTTAATCTTACCCTTAATCTTATCGCTTAGCTCTGTTACTAGGTTTTACATATTCTTACTGCGGGAAAAGAAGTTGTCCCCTTTCATGTTGAGGAAAGGAAAAATGTCAGAGCTTTCTAATCCTTATGCGCTCTAAGTCTTTTGTGGGCAAAACAACTATTTCTCTGTGATGTTTATTGTAATAGCCAATGCACCATGCATTGGTATGTCATTTGTTTTTTTGAAAAAACCCCATAAAACCAATGTTGTATGCTACATTTTGTTACGGCACAAAAATTGTTTACATGTCCTATACATATATATTGATGTTGCATATTTATATTTTTAAGGAGTGTGGGTTTTTTCAGTCATTAACAGAGGGGCACCAACAATTTTGATCTGTGCGTAAATTGTAGGATTGCGGATAATAAAAGAAAATATGCCCCTTTTAGAATAACTTTCAAGCGTAATTATACTCAAAATAAAGTAAGTTATCTTTAAACAGCACTGTCCATTGATTTGTACAATTTTAATGTTTTAAAAGTGATCACTTGGATACCAGTTGTTAAAGATATAAAACTTCTTGTTAAGCAGAAGTATTATATTTCTGCTTAAAGGAACAAATCAAATTTGTTTGGCAAATTGCTTCAGTTTTACATGTGTAGATTTCAAAATTTCTCCATAGAAAACATGTTGACACAATTTGACTCCTTAAAGATAGATGAATAGCTTAGCTAAGTGAGAATCGCTTTTTAAAATTGTACTTCATTTATTTAATTCAACTTCAATTAACTATTAGTATCATTCCTATGTTAAAATGAATATATATACAAATAAAGCTTTCCTGTGGTTAATACATAAAATATTTATTAAGAGTATGCTGATAAACGTTTTGAAATCTATTTTAAGAAGGTGGCATGCAAATCTGTCTATCTATCTATCTATCTATCTATCTATCTATCTATCTATCTATCTATCTATCTATCTATCTATCTATCTATCTATCTATCTATCTATCTATCTATCTATCTATCTATCTATCTATCTATCTATCTATCTATCTATCTATCTATCTATCTATCTATCTACATTCAGATTTTCAAATGCAAACGATTCCATAATTTTTTTTTATTGGGTAATATTTAATGCATCCCAAAATCCATTTTTATAGTGGATTTTTTTCTTGATAGCGGCAGGCCTGTAAGAATGCATCATGTACTGTAAGTATTGATATAACGTTGTTGTTTCGAGTGGAGGTCGCAGCTGTTGTCACGAATGTAAGCTGTTTAACAGTGATGTTTGCTACAACGCTGTGATGCAACTGAGCATTTTTTCCCATCTCCCGGCGGAAGTGGTCAGTGGAAGCGTTACTGGACTCCAACTGGTAGCGGGGCTAGGGCGTTGCTAGCGGCAGAAAGTGGGATTTTTTTTTTCTCGCTACCTTTCCTCAAGTTATAGTCTTCTACTAGCCGCGTCTTCCATCGGAAAACGGCGCCTCGCGTTGCGTTCGCCAAAAGTTTCCGGGCCTCTCCCGAGGCTTTCGGTCGTTGTTTACAGGGGGGGGGGAGCGGTGAATAGTTTGTGTCCCGTTAGCTGGCCGCGTAGCTAACCCGCTTTTCCATCCACGGGAATTCTGCCGAGAAACGACCGAATTCTGGAAACATGGAGTCAAGCGACGTAGCGCTGTGCTAACCGAGCTCCGCTGGATTTTCTCTTTGCTCCCGGAGACTTTTCGACACGGAGACATATCACAAGTTAGTCTGGACTCGAGAGGGTGTCGTTACATGTTAATTTTTTTCCGTCGCGGCTCTGGCTGATTGTGGTGAACGGGAGTTTGCACTCGAAACAAGAGCACACACGAAGCAAAGTTTTTTTTTCTTCTTCTTTCTTTTTTTTTCTTTTCTTTTTTTGGCTCATCTGTTTTGTTTGCTGGTAGCAGGCGAGATTTGACCCCACCAGTTTACCGTGAGAAAGGATTCCCCCCACCCCCCCAAAAAAACAAACCAACCAACTGTATTTCTTCTTTCATATGTATAAATATGATCATCTTAAGCTTTGTTTCTTAATCTCAACGTATAGCCGCGGTTGTTTTGCTAACTTGTAACGCGGCTCGTTGGTACTCGGCTACCGGGCGATTCTCATGATCACGGGAGAGTCGCTCCCGCAGCCACAGACAGGCGTTTCTGGGAACAGGGAGCACCAGATGGGACTGCAGGAATTTCCAGCATCTTGAAAGATCATTTAGGCACCGAGGCCACTCGTAGCCGATCGAGGGGTGGTGGCAGACGGACTGCGTCGCTGGGCCGAGGTTGTTTGGTTGCTGCGTTTGGATTGTTTACACGTTTCCTACCGGCGGAAGCTGGGGATGTGAATGCAAAAAAAAAAAAAAAAAAAAAAAGAGTCTCGCAAGGAGTTCATGCATGCACGGCAACTTGTGCCAGCTGGAGCTGTTTTTTTTCTATTTATCATTGCTGGCAAACAACAGCAACAAAAAGCTCTACACTGTAAGGTCCTGGCTGCTGTTTCATTTCGTCAAGGATTACCTGAAACAGGATCAACCAGTCAGTGTTTTATTCGATTTTTTTTTATTATTCGATATATATTTTTTTCTTATTTAATTTTTGGACGTGTCTTGCAGCAACTTAACAGTTTTTTTTGTTTTTGTTTTTTAACCAAAGGGAGTTGATTCTTAGCCCCGCTTATAAAAATTAAAAATAAAAATAAAAAAATCCTTGCCTCCTCAAAGACGAATGCCGGAGAAAGACGCTCCAGGAAGCCAGGTCACCAAGCTCTGGAAAATGCTAATGGGATATAATTTGCTGCAAATCTAGAACCGGAAGCCCAATGAGTGACCCACAGTTCAGTTCCACTGACAGGTAATGTCCAATCATCCACTGTCTGAACGCACACAGACACACACACACTGATTAAGTCTTCTAAGGTCACGGTTCACAAACTGTGCTACTGGTGGTATTTTGGCAGCTTTTAGTGGCACTTTGAAAATATATGTCAAAAAAAAAAAGTGGGCATCAGTTACTTGTGATGTAAATACAAACAAATGAATTCGAAATTAGATGTTATAAGCACCAATCACCACTACAAAGATAAGATTCTGTCATTTATTGTTTTTTTTATTGGTTTTATTTAGCATATCAGATCTAGGACCTCCCATCATTTATGGTCTTCAAACACATCAACCAATAGCATGCACTTTGATGCATTTTTGTAAGCATGACAGGTAGTGCAATCAGCTCAAATAGATCAAACACCGCAAAGGAACATTTATTCTATGTATGAAAGCCATAATGTGATTTTTTTTTTAATCATCAGGAGTGTTTTTACTTTATTTGCTGCAGAATATTTTATGTTAGGAAGCCAAATTGGATTCATTGGACAAGGTTGGTGAAAATTCTCCTACTCAGATTATACCCTTTATGTTGATTTGTCCAAGTTGGAACATTGGCATTTTAAGTTTAGAGTAAAAAGAAAATTTATAATGACACTGTATGCTTCAGTCAATCAGGGAGTGGTGCAGCACAGAGATGACAGTGTTTCAAAAGAAATGCACCGCTCAGACCAATACTGACTTCAGGTTTAATTTCCAAAATCTATAACATGTACAAAATATAAAAATGTGCTGCATGACGTTTAATAGATGTGGTAGTTTTTAATCCAGGGGTAAGTGGGAAGTTCTTAGAATTATTTTGACAGCATTGGCATCACAGCATCTGCCACTAAGCTTAACCGATTCTTAAATTAAAACAAGTGCCTCTGTGTTGGCTGATGCAGTTTTAGATGGAAAAATGGTAGGTGTCCTTAGTTGAACAGTTGATGACTAATCAACTCTTCAAGTGAAAATTATGATATTTGATCTCTGGCTGATTGATTGGTGTTTTACCTCAACTGAGTTATAAGGCCCTTCTCTATGGTTGTACTTGGAAAACTCGATATTTACTGAGGTAGTGCTTATTATAAATCTCTTGAGAACCAATGTTCTGGTATTTTGACCTGACCATCTAATTGTTTGTGCACAGTAACATCCTTTTTAGTAAACTTTTTAATACAGATTACTCTGTGTTGATATGATCAGCACAATTACAATTATAGTTACAATTATGGAATTATTTGAAGAAGGACATCAAACCTTAATGGAAACTCTGGCAACCCTGGGTAATGTACTTCCTGCCAATGAGGAGGCCTTCAGTGTGTTTGTGCTAGGAAACAGTCCTCTCTAATCCATGTACACCTTTCAACATCACTATTACCCCTAAGCCTTTAAAGCTAACCCTCTCCTACACCTATTAAAGCAATCTCTGGATTTAAATAAAACCTTGGCTGCATGAGGTAATCGCTTTATCTTGGCAGCTGTCTGTCCAAAAATCAAAGGTTAAACCAGAAGGGCTAAATAACATGTTTTTTGCGAGCTGAATAAAAGAGAGCCATGCACGTGTTTGATGGCAATGCATGGAGCTAGAGTCAGTGTGCATCCCTGCACGCTGCCTTGTGTCATTACAGGCATGACATCCTCTTTAGGGAACCTTTAGGGAATAAGGAGGTGACTGTTTTCAATCTGACGAACGTATGACAGTGGAGCAGAAGTGAAGCTGGTGCATTACATCAAGCCTTCCACCCTCCTAGAATCCCACATACCTGCAAGCAGAGCAGCAGGCCAAGCTTCCTGGAATGTGTTTGTAGACTTGGAACAGAGGGGAGCTTATTGCACAGGTTGGATGTGAAATATCCTCATGGCTTTGAGCTGGAGGCTAAAGCCCAACCCATTTTACTTGACCCCCTTCCCCCACAGACACACACAGAAATGATGGCAACAGTGGCTGGCACCAACTGCAATTGTAGTGGTATTTTATTTTTATGTGTGTGTGTGTGTGTGTGCAGTTTTGTCTGATGGTATTTATGTGACTGGCTAAGCATGGGTTGGTATGTGATTCTTTGATTTTAAAAATACAACCAAGTTTCATGGTTTCCTGATATTTACCTGAAAATGTAGAACATAGACGTATTGGCTTTATTTTAAACAGACAATAACACTTAGCCCAAATGATTGATTAACTATACAATCTTTGTGTCAGACTGTGAATCTAATACATAGATTATAGATGATTTATCTGTATGAATGGTGATGATGAATGATGATAACATCTCGAACAGCTGACTCTCTCAGCTGCTTGCCAACGGGACGATTTCAACGTTTATCCCGACGGGGTCACAGTTCCAGTTATGGTCCTTTTCTTTCTCAGTGAAATAGTTATACTCAACGCCATGCTCACTTGGCACATAAAAAACCCCAATAGTGTCTCCTTCGAGTGTAAATTGATGTCTGCTTGTGTTAAAGGACATTATCACCTCCTAATGCAGTGTGCAGACCCCACTGATGTTTATATGGCACTTTTTGCCCAGACAAAAGCCTGTGACCCTCTGACACTTCTAGGTCAGGACCCACCAGTTGGAAAAGATGGCTTTATCCAGACTGGTTTCAATGACATGGTGCTAAATTTTACTGGTTTTGGAATTGTAAAAACTATGTACATATTAACTGGTCTATGCCCGTGTTGATTAAAATGATTCATTTCTGCTGAGATCTGTGACGAAGACAAAATTAACAATACTTATGCTGTCGTTACTCTTAAATATTGCATTGTGGGTAGCTCAAAAATATAACACAGTACATTTTGACTTCTTACTTTGTTTGAGCTTTTATTAGATTATCAAATCTTAATATACGGCTACACAAATATTCTCCTTGGCATGTTCGTATGTTGGGGTCCAGGGCTTTTCAGCCCCAATAATAAATTTTTTTACCCTACATAAAGAAAATAATATAGCTTAATGTATTATAAGTTAAAGAGCTTATTTTACAGTAGGCCTTTCTGTGGAGCTACTTTCTGTGGAGCTACTTTCTGTGTCGCGGTTGCTAAACCTATTTGGTTACTTTGGTGTAGGATGCAGCTGCTCATCGGGGTGTATGTGAAAAGTACTTGATAGTGCTGCAATTTCCTTCGCTTCCTCTCGCTTCACGTGCAACGATTCGCAGCCTGTGTTTGCAGCAGTGTCGGCTTTGACTGCATTTTGCTTCTCACATGTATCAGGCACTCTGCCGTTGGGCTCAGTTTAGTGTGCCTGCTAGGTCTTTGTCACAGAGTTCTGCTGATCTCCACGTTTTCCCACCACCTCCCTACCGAGGTCCTCCCGGAAACCGGTGCTGTTGACACCACTGGTTGTAAACAATGGTTTTCAGTGCAAGCAAATCGTCCATCCAGTGCATATTCCTGCAGCTGTTTGTCATAGAAGTCTGAAAAATGTCTGTCCAAATGTCAGTATGTTTGCACCTTTTAGAATTTTTCATCAGAAGTAAAAATCCTTTCAGAATAGATGTGGAGTATGTATATTTCCGCAAACAGTTAATGTTTTAAGTGACGAGGACCACAGAGTGATGATGTCGGCTCTTTTTTTTGACACTAACATAGTGCTGAAGTTTGTGTTTGCCATGCTGCAGTGTAGTTTGTTTCCTCGTGATAAATGTTTTCGTGAGTGCTTCTGACAGCGTGGCTTGCTGGTATGCATCTCCTCCATTTTGGCAACCTTCCATGATAATGCAGCATCCTTTCACTTCATCAAGTTAGTGCTGATACTGAAGGAGCTGCATCAGCTGCTTTGAGCTTAAAAACGACTAAGTAGAGATAAATTACGGACAAGAGCTGAAAAAGGCTCAATGTAAGGTACCAATTGCATGTTTCTTGCAAAGAAAAAGGAATTTGATTTGAATTAAAATATTTTTGAATTAATTTACAATATTTCTTGCTATGTGCTCGTCTAACAAACCTGCAGTCACCGGTGAGCTGCCTCTCTGTACAAAAAATGTAGCATCTAAAAAGCGCTACGTTAATAACAGCTTGCTGTGCTCTGCAAGTTTCCATTGCAGACCACAAGCAGACAGTTTTCTTTCTTATAAACAAGATAATTGTCTTGAGTTAGTGTTATTGCACAAAGTCTACATAGGTTGCTGTATGTAAATGGCAAGGTAGTTCAATGTGAGAGTAGAATGTGCTATTCTGCAGAACCAAAAAGCCTCTTTTGTATTAACAAAAATAGTCATCAGTGAATGACGGAAATATCACTGGCGAGTCAGTACTTTTCTATTCGCCATGAGATATTGGTTCAGAGTAGACTGAGTAGTCTCTATGACTTTTAAGGTCATAAGTGCCCAAGTCCAAGGAGTTGCTCTCCTTCAGCTTTTAGGTGCATTCCGAAAATCACATTTAGATGTCTTTATATTTAAAGACTTTGCTGTATTTGAGAAGTCCAGAGTATTGGAAGAATACTCTTTCTTCTTCAGGTTTTAAATTACAGTCCATTTAAATGCTAAAATACTTACTCTCTAGACTTATATTTTAATTATGGGTAAAAAAGGGACTGATTACAGTTTTCTGGCCCATCACCGATCATTGATTTTTAAAAGCTTGACTTGTTGATTCAGATTTTAGCCCATACTGATTTTTTTTCTCTTAGATATTGCTAAATATAGCAAGAAAGTTGCTGAGTTGGCAACAGTGGGGTGACTATTATTAACTGCAAACGTGCAGGCATGACCTACTGGGCCGGTCTCTGTGTCAAACTTTTCTTATGGCAGAGCAAAAATTGACAGTGGTTGACTTTCTGACCTTTGGTGAGGTAGATAAGATGGGTGGATAAGATCGCTTCCCATCTAAATATTGACAAATGGCTGATTTAAGGGTGCATCCCTTCTTTTTAATGTGGATTTTAAATTTGACATATGAGTCTTCGCTCCCTCAGACTAGTGCCAGCAGAAAATAGGAAACACCTGGTGGAACTGTGCACCAAGTACTTCTCAGTTTAACGC